TTAAATAAAAATGTATTGAGTGCCTATATTTGAGTATAACAATTGAAGGTGCAGTGTTGAATAATTTACCCTACTTGACTTTGATAGTAAGGGAGACAGGTTTATAAACAAACATATTAGCTGATAACATAGTTAATTATGGTAGAAACACAGAAGATGGTGCAAATAACTCCGGGGTGTTGTTTAGTGAGCCTTTACAGAAGAGGTAGTTTTTAAAGCATTTTCACTAAAGAGTAAGTGTAGGCACTGGCCAGATGAAGGGGAGGAGGTGAGGAGAAGGGTCTTTCAATAAAAGAATGAACATATGTAAAGACCCAGAGTTACGAAAGAGCCTGTGCATTTGAAGAACAGCTTGAAGTTCAATGCAGCTAGAGCATTATTGTCCAATATAAATATGAACACAAATGTGCAATTTAAATTTTTCTAATAGCCATACTACAGAGTAAAAAGAGACAGGTAAAATCAATAATAACACATTTTATTTAACCCAATATATCTGAAATATTTTTTTTTCAACTTAAGTCATTAAAATCAAATCAGGTGAATATTTAACACAAAACATTTCAGTTTGTCTTCCTTCCTTTCTTTTCTTTTCTTTCTTCCTCTCTTTTTCTTTTCTTTTTTATTTTTTTAGGGACTGGATCTCGCTATATTGCCCAGACTGGTCTTCCTGCCTCAGTCTCCCAAAGTGTTGGGATTACAGGCATGAGCCACTGCCCTCAGCCTAAGACATCTCAGTTTGGACTAAACACATTTCAAGGGCTCAATGTATAGAAACTTAGCAATGCATCTGTATATATGTGTGTGTCAGAGAGAGAAAGAGAATGAGAATGAAAATCTGTGTGCTCTAGAGGGAGAGGAGGATAGATAAGGTTGAAGTAGTTGTTGGAGTCATATTTTTAAAGGCTTTGCATGCTGGCTTATTTTAGAATTTTTTCTTAAAATTTAGTAGTGAAGGAACAGTTTTGAAAATTTTGAATTTGTTATAGACTAATGCTTTTGCAAAATAACAATAAATTAGAAAGGTGAAAGTAAAAAGACATACAAAGAGAGGCATCATTTTTAAATCATTAAATTTGACAGATGTTGTCTTAGTCTAGTTTGTGCTGCTATAACGGAATACCACAGACTGGATAGTTTATAACTAACAGAAATTAATTGGTTTACAATTCTAGAGCCTAAAAAGTACAAGATTGAGGGGCCACATCTGGTGAGGGCCTTTTAGCTGCATCAAAACTTTGCAAAAGGCATCACATGGTGGAAGGGCAAGAGAGGCAGAGAGAAAAAGCAAGAGGGGGTAAACTCACTCCCATGATAAAGAACCTGTTCCCTCAATAAAGGCATTTGTCCTTTCGTGAGGGCAAAACCATCATGATTTAAACACATCTTAAAGGTCCCACCTTCCAAGACCATTACAAAGGCAATTAAATTTCCACATGCATTTGGAGGGACACAGTATTACTCCCCGCATGTTTTTCTTACATACAAAACGCACTTATTTCATCCCAATAGCTCCAAATTCTTAATTCTTTCCAGCACCAACGCAAAAGTCCAAAGTCATATCTAAATCAGACATGGGGGAGACATAACACAATCCATTCTGAGGCAAATTCCCCTCTAGCTGTGAGCCTGTGAAATTATACAAGTTATCTATTTCCACAATACAATGGTGGGACAGGTATAGGATAGACATTCCCATTCCAAAATGGATAAATAGGCAAGGAAGGGGTAACTGGTTCCAAGTAAGTCCAAAACCCAATGGGGACAACAACAGTAAATCTTAAGGCTCAGAAATAATTTTCTTTGACTCCATGCTGCCCTGCTTCCTGGACACACTGGGGCAGGGGTTGAGCCCCGAAGGACTTGGAGAGCCCTGCACCTAAGGCTTTGCTGGATGGTTGGAGTCTTATGCTTACAGCTCTCCCGGGCTGTCTTTGCGTGCTGGCTTTGCGTGCTGGTGTCTACAGTTCAGGAGTCTCAGGTGTGGTTCTGCCCCTGCAGCTTCACTAGACATCGCTTTAGCGGGGACTCTTTGTGGCAGCTCTGCTCCTGCAGCAGTTTTCTACCTGGATCCCCAGGCTGTCTGATACCTTCTTTAAAATCTAGGTGAAGGTAGCCATGCCTCCACAGCTTGTGAACTCTGTGTGCCTGCAGAATTGGCACCGTGTGGATACCACCAATATTTACTGCTTGTGCACTCTGGAGCAGAGGCCTTAGCTGCACGTGTGCCTGCTCAAGTCATGGCTGTAGCAGTTTAAGGGCACTGCACCAGAATGTGGGGAACAGACATTTGAGGAGGTGAGGTGCAGGGCAGTGAATTCTAAGGTCCCTTGGGTGCCTCTTCGGAAACTTTGCCCTCAAGATTCTAGCTTGTCTCAGAGATCCCTAAAGTGCCTTTGGGGTCATTTTCTCATTGTGTTGATGAATAGCACCTGGCTCTTTTCTAGCCATACAAACCTTTTTAGCAAATGGTTACTTGGCCACACCCTTTGTTTGCATGCCTAGGCACATATTTTTATTCTTTACATGGCCAGGCTCTGAATTTTCACAATTTTTATGTTCTATCTTCCCTTAAATTATAAGTACTGTCTTTAAATTATTTCTTTCCTCTCACATTCTATTATATACATTTAAAAGAAGCCACACAGCTCCTTCAGTATTTTGCTTAGAACTTTCTGGCTGGCGTGGTGGCTCACACTTTTAATCCCAGCACTTTGGGAGGCTGAGGTGAACGGATCACAAGGTCAGGAGATCGAGACCATCCTGGCTAACGCGGTGAAACCCCGTCTCTACTAAAAACACAAAAAATTAGCCAGGCGTGGTGGTGGGCACCTGTGGTCCCAGCTCCTCAGGAGGCTGAGGCAGGAGAATGCTGTGAACCCGGGAGGCAGAGTTTGCAGTGAGCCAAGACTGTGCCACTGCACTCCAGCCTGGGAGACAGAGCGAGACTCCATCTCAAAACAAAACAAAACAAAACAAAAAGAAAATTTCTTCCATCAGATATTCTAGTTTGTCACTCTTAAATTCTGCCTTCTGTTAAAGCCCTCAGGCATGGACACACTTCAGCCAAGTTCTTTGCCACTTAATAACAAGGATGGCCTTTACTGCAGTTTCCAATACATTGTTCTTCATTTCCGTCTGAGACTTGGTCAGAATTGCCTGTACTGTCCATATTTCTGTCAGCATTCTGGTCATGAATCTCTAAGAAGAATCACTCAAGTAATCTCTAAGAAGTTCCAGACTTTCTCTCTTGCTCATCTCATCTTCTGAGCCCTTCCCAGAATTGCCCTTAATTCTCTATTCATTGTACTCTAGGCTTTTTCTAGGTTGCTCTTCCAAATTCTTCCGGCCTCGCCGCATTATCCAATTTCAAAGCCGCTTCCACATTTTTCAGGTATTTGTTATAACAACCCACCTCTCTGGTACCAATTTTTGTCTTAGTTGTGTGTGTGTGTGTGTGTGTGTGCGTGCGCGCTGCTTTAACAGAATACCACAGACAGAGTAATTCACAAATAATGAAAATTTATTGGCTTTAGGGTTTCTTGCCACATCATAACATGGCAGAAGGCATCGCACAGAAGGAGGGCAAAGAGGGGATAAGAGAGATCAAAGGAGGCACAAACCCCCTCCTGCAATAACATTAGTTTATTCATGAAGGTGAAGCCCTTGTGTCCTGAATACCTTTTGAAAGTCCAACCTTATAATACCATCACAAGTGCAATTACATTTCAACATGAGTTTTGAAGGGGAAAGATGTTCAAACGGTAGCAGACATACAGTTTATATAAAAGTGTCTAAACCAGTGATATCCAATAGAACTTTCTGTCATGATAGGAATGTTCTGTCTGTGCTGCTTAATGTAATAGCCACTAGCCACAGGTAGCTATTGAGTACTTGAAATGTGGCTAGTGTGAATGAGAAAATGAATCCTTAGTTTAATTTAATTTTAGTTAATTTAAATTGAAGTGACCATATGAGACAATTGATTACTATATTGGACAGCATTGAATACATTTACTCTTAATCTCTGTATTTACCTATTGTGCATTAGTAAAAAACAGTTTGTGCACTGGCATGGCCCACAAACCATGCTTTGAGTAGCACTATTTAAAGCATGGACTGTAGTGCTAGAAAGCCTTTGTGTGTCTTTGGCAAACTGCTTAATCTCTTGGTGCCCCAGTTTCCTCATTTGTAAAATAAAGGTAATAATAAACTACCTAATAGAGTTGTTGTGAGGATTAAATGCATTAATGAATGTAGCATACTTAGCCCAAGGTCTGACACACAGCATGCTCTACATAAATGCTTCCTGTTATTGTTACTAGCATTATTATTTTTATTATGTAGGTGGCGGATATCAAACAGTTAAGTGGTAACAAAGCCCAGTCTTTTTATTAATTCTCTGCTTTTTGCAGTAGCTTAGACTTTCTCCTTTTAAAAATATACCACAGTTTGTGGCATCTAGTGGCTTCCAATGAATATCTTTTGAACATAAGTATAAAGTACTTTTCAAGCACAGATGAAGAAGCAATTATTTTTCTGAAGGGAGGATTGGTAAAAGTATTGAGAACAGATGACAGTTGAGAGGGCCTCAGTGGATGAGTCTGACAGGCAAAGAGGAGAGGACACACCTGGCAGAGGGAGCAAGGATACCCATTTGGATTATACTCTATTTAGGAGACTATACAGCAGGTAACACTGCCTTAGCCCTATCACTGCTACCACCACTTCTTTCTCTCCTTCCCAGCTCTTTTCTTGATTTATCCTTTTAGCATATTTTAAACAGGATTAATAGGTAACACGTGATTCTACAGTTTTAAGGGAGGTCAATCATTGCCTCTTGTTCATTCCTCAGAGTAACAGTGCCCGAATTTGATGGTGGATGTTGGGCAGTGGTTGGGAAGGGAAGGGGAATGCTGCTTGAAAAGCAGTCCCTGGGTTATGAACAGGTAGCTGTGAGATTCTTTTCCCTTAAAACATAATGTTTCTTATTTATGTAGATTATCTTAACAAGAAAACCAACTGGAAAAAAATGAAATTCCTTATCTTCGCATTTTTTGGTGGTGCTCACCTTTTATCCCTGTGCTCTGGGAAAGCTATATACAAGAATGGCATCTCTAAGAGGACTTTTCAAGAAATAAAAGAAGAAATAGCCAGCTATGGAGATGTTGCTAAAGCAATTATCAACCTAGCTGTTTATGGTAAAGCCCAGAACAGATCCTATGAGCGACTGGCACTTCTGGTTGATACTGTTGGACCCAGACTCAGTGGCTCCAAGAACCTAGAAAAAGCCATCCAAATTATGTACCAAAACCTGCAGCAAGATGGGCTGGAGAATGTTCACCTGGAGCCAGTGAGAATACCCCACTGGGAGAGGGGAGAAGAATCGGCTGTGATGCTGGAGCCAAGAATTCATAAGATAGCCATTCTGGGTCTTGGCAGCAGCATTGGGACTCCTCCAGAAGGTATTGTTTGTCTTTTCAGTTTGATTTGCATTTTATAAAACTAATGTCCCTTGGTGTAATTGAGTACAATATGCATGATTCATATTATAATTTGGATAATTTCTTATTCCATTGGCTTAATGAGTTCTCTACCCTTTTTTGTCCTCCCATTTTTTTTACTTCGGTTTCTTTTGTGAAAGAGAACTGATCATGTTGGATCGCTTTTTAAATGTAGAATCTGTAGCTACTGGTCCATGATACTTACCAGCCCCATCATTTTGTAATTGCTATCTAGTTAAACATTAGCATCATTCTATGGATAATTGAAATATATATAAACAGGATACAAAAACTATGACTTCTTCCAAGTGACCTCAGTGTGAATTATTTTTTAGAATTAATGAAATGGAGAATAGAACATTGCACTCTGAATTGATTTAATTATTTTTATAGAACTGAGGTTTCTACTTTAAGGAATTATCCAAGGTTGAGTTCTACCTTTACTTATAAGCACCCTGGATCAGCTTTATCAGATAATATACAATAAATGCCCAGATCAGAGATACATAGCCAGTCATCAGGGAGCTATCAGTTAGCCTTGAATATATCCATGGGCTAATTTCCAGTGGCAGAAGAATGAGTTTCTATTCTTTTGACTTTTTTGGATGCCAAGAGAAAGGCCCAGTGAAGAAGTACATTGTCAGTTTAAAACATTGTTTATCCAGATATAATTCACATACTATGATGTTCACCCATTTAGAATGTACAAGCGATTTTTAGTATATTCACAGAGTTGTACAACCACCACAATCTAATTGTAGAACATTTTCATCACCACAAAAAGAAACTCTGTGACTATTAGCTGTCATTCTCCAGTCTACCTATATCCCAGCCCTAGGAAACCACTAATCTGCTTTCTGTCTTTATGGATTTGCTTATTCTGGGCATTTTATGTGAATGGAATAATACATTATATGATCTTTCGTGAATGCTTTTTTTCATGTAGCATACTGTTTTCCAGGTTCATATGTTGTCACATATTTCAGTATTTCATTCTTTTTATTGCTCAGTAATATTCCATTTTATGAATGTATCACATTTTTATTTGTCCATGCATCAGTTGATGGACATTGAGATTATTTTCACCTTTTAGATATTATGAATAGAGCTGCTGTGAACATTCATGCACAAGTTTTTCATGTGAACATTTGTTTTCATTTCTCTTGGGTATAAAGCAAGAAGTAGAATTGTTGGGTCATATACCAGCTGTGTGTTTAACTTTATGAGGTATTGCCAAACTGTTTTCTGAAGTGGCTGCACAGTTTTTTGTACCCACTGACAATGTATTAATTTTTATGCTTGTCAACACTTGTTATTATCTGACTTCTTGGTTATAGCTATTCTAGTGGGTGTGGAGTGGTATCTCATTGTGCTTTTGATTTGCATTTCCCTAATGACAAGTGATGTTGAGCATCCTTCTATGTTCTCACTCACCCATTTGTTTACCTTCTTTGGAGAAATGTGTATCCAAATTCATTGCCCAGGTTTTAATTGGACAATGAGATTTTTATTATAGAGTTTTAAAAGCTTTTTATGTATTGTGTATACAAGTCCCTTTTCATATATTTGATTTACTAATGTTCTCTCCATTCTGAGGATTGTGTTTTTTTTTTCTTGATGGTAATATTCGCTACAGAAATATTTAATCTTTGATTTAGTCCAGCTAATTTATTTTATTTCTTTGTTGCCTGTGCTTTTGGTGTCATATCAAACCATTGCCTATACCATAGTCACAAACATTTACTACTACTATTGTAATGTATTTAGGCCTGTATATCTTTACTCTCATCTCATATTTTCTTCTAAGAATTTTATGGCTGCTATCCTTACATTTATATCTGTGAATTAATTGCATTAATTTTTGTATATGGTAAATGATAAGGCTTCAGCTTTCTTCTTTTGAATGTGGTCATTCAGTTGTCTCAACTTCATTTGTTGAAAAGGCTATTCTTTCTCCTTTAATTCAGTGCATTACATTAATTTATTTTCAGATGTTAAAAAACATTGCATTACTGGTATAAACCCCACTTGATTATAATACATAATATTTTTTATATGGTGCTGAATTCAGTTTGGTAGTATTTTGCTTAATATTGCATTTATATCCATAGGGATATTGGATTGTAGTTTCATTTTCTTGTAATGTCTTTTTTTTTTGTATCAGAGTAAGACTGGCTTCATGAAATCAGTGGCAAAGTGTCACCTTATCTTCCATCCTTTGGAAGAGATTACAAATGACTGCTATTAATTCTTTAAATTTCTGGTAGAATTCAGTGAGGGAATCTCATTCAGGGTTTTCTTTGTCGGAAGACTTTTAATTATTAATTCAATTTCTTTACTTGTCTAATCAGATTTTCAGTTTCTTCTTGAGTCAGTTTTAGTAGCTTGTGTCTTTAGAGAAATGTATCTGTTTTATCTAAGTCATGTAATTTGTTGGTGTACAGTTATTTATAGTATCTTATTATAATTTTTTATGTTTGTAAGGATAAGGGTCTAAATCACTGCTGTCACTTGCTTTTGGGCAGAAAAACTTTGTTTAGATTTTTCTGGCAGCAAATTCTCTAAGCCTTTTTTCATCTTTATCTCTTTATTTAAACTTCAGTTTTGAAAGATAGTTTTACTAGACATGAGATTCTTAGTTGACAGGTTTGTTTTTCTTTTCTTTTTTTCTTTTTTTTTTACTTTCAGCACTCTGAATACATTATCCATCCCATTGCCTTCTGGACTCCATTGTTTCTTTTTTTTTTTTTTGAGATGGAGTTTCCCTCTTGTTGTCTAGGCTGGAGTGCAATGGCACAATCTCAGCTCACTGCAGCCTCCACTTTGCCGGTTCAAGTGATTCTCCTGCCTCAGCCTCCCAAGTAACTGGGATTACAGGTGCACACCACCATGCCCAGCTAATTTTTTTGTATTTTCAATAGAGACAGGATTTCACCATTTTGGAGAGGCTTGTCTCGAACTCCTGGACTCAGGTGATCTACCTGCCTAGGCTTCCCAAAGTGATGGGATTACAGGCTGGAGCCACGATTCCTGTCCTGGACTACATTGTTTTTGATGAGATGTCGGCTATTACTGTTTTGGAGGTTTCCTTGTATGTGATGAATCATATCTTCTTTATTGCTTTCAAGATTTTCTTTTCCTTTTAGATTTTTGTTATTTTGATTCTAATGTATCTAGGTATGTATATCTTTATTCTCATCTTACTTGGAGGTTGTTGATTTTCTTGGGTGTGTAGATTGAAGTTTTTCATCAAATTTGAGGTGTTTTCAGCTATTATTGCCACAATTTTTTTTTCTTCCCTTTTTTCTTTTTCCTCTCCTTCTGATACTTCCATTTATTGTGTGTTGGTGATTTAATGATGTCCCATATTTCTCTTAGGCTCTGCTCATTTTTCTTTATTCTTTTTTTTCTTTGTTCTTCAGATTGTATGACCTCTATCAATCTATCATCAAACTTACTGATTCTTTCTTCTATTAGCTTAAAGCTACTATTGAGCCTCTATACTGAATTTGTCTCTTTAGTTACTATACTTTTAAACTCCATAACTTCTCTTTGGCCTTTTTAAAAAATAATTTCTGTGACTTTATTGATATTTTTTTATTTGATGAGATGTTGTCATCATATCTGCCTTTAGTTCTTTAAGTATGGTTTCTTTTAGTTCCTTGAATATTTCAATAATAGCTGCTTTGAAGTGTTTGCTATATCCCACATCTGGACCCCCTAAAAGACAGTTTCTACTGCCTACTTCTTTTTTTCTTGTGTATGGGTTATACTTTATTGTATCTTTTTATGCCATAGTTTTAAAAACAGAAAGCCTGAATATTTAAACTAATGTTTTATGGCAACTCTGGATACTGACTCATCTTCCTTCCTTTCCCCCCTCCATTTACTTGGTCGTTCATTTGTTTAATCGCTTGAATGTATTAACTCTGTGACATCTATTTCTCTTACACTGTTCAGCTTCTGAAAATCCTGTTTAGATTGTTTTTTTTTTCTTTTAGTTGGGTTCCCTATGAGTCACCCATAGGTCTGCATAAACCACTTACTGATCAAAGGTTATGCTTAGGTTCCTTTAGCCAGTTATGTTTTTACTCTTTGCCATTGGATGTTTTTGTGACTTGGAGTCTGTTATTACAACTTAAGAAGTTTATTTTTTCTCCCAACTTTGGCCAAGGCCAAATGCCTTGGAAGTTCCTTGTCTAATCACTTCTGCGAGGGTGCGGCCTTGGGCATGCACACAGCCTTCCAGATTACCAGAATGCAAGTAATTTTATTTTTAAGCATGGCTTAGTAGTATTTTCTCCAGGGTCAGAATAGCTTATTTTTTAGCCAGTGTTTGCTCAGAGGTTGTACTTAAACACTTTGAGTGAGTGAGGCTTCTGCCCTTTGTTGACGAATCTGTGTGCAGCTTGGGAAATGTTTTCAAATCTGACTCACGTGTTGTTTTGATTGTTCCTGAGTAGGTATAACCTAGGACATGTGTGTAGCTTTTCAACCCCCAGGGTTTACTGGGATCCCAGGAAGGCCCTTCTTGGTTGTTTCTTTCTTTCGTTCTGTTAAAGCTATGGTGGTTCTGCCATTTTGCTTGTTGCTAGCAGTATCATGAAGCTACCAGCACTCCCTTAATTGTTCTTCGCCAAGCTCTCCATTATTTTCAGCAACACCCTTAGGCAGGGAATTCTCCATTCTCTGCACTAAACGAAGTCACTAACATCAATAAGAACTATGGAGCTCTTCATCCTTATGACTTCTCTTCCTCTGGGAGAACATTCGTGCTACTCCATGGGAGCTAGCAGTGATAGTGGCACCACCCAGTGGCACCCAGAGTGATATCCCTAGTGGATGATAAGATGATAAGAAGGGAGAAGGAGGTAGTTCTCAGCCTTGTTGGTTTGCAGCTTCCAGTGTGGGACCACCTCCTATGACTGAGCTGAGAAAGGGGTGATCAGAGTCTTAGTATT